AGGAGAGTCGTCAACTTTTTGAAGGCCATAGATAGGCCTAAATAAAAATATTTTTAATTGTGTACCAGTTTAACGTTGATTATTATTTATGATTTTATCTTCAGTACCACTCTGTCTTTTTAGATCCCACTTTAGATTTCTAGTGGTCAGTGTTTCTTTAATTCGAAATAAATAGTCATTGTATGCAGTTCCAATACATTCAAACTGGCCATTATTTACTATTTATTCTGTCACTACAAACTAGCAGACATGTCTGGGATTTCCACATATTATTACAAACTATGTTCCTTTATTCTATCCACCGGTATGTTTGTAGTAGGTCTAATATATACTCTAGAACGCTCAGAGCATTTATACATGTAAATAACATTCGAATGATTTGGTTTACCCACTCTATTTTTAAACACAAGATAGTTCCTTATTTTGACAACGTATGGTTTAAGAATTGAATTGGAGATCTACTTGCGGGTAGATGTTATACAGTAAAGTCTTTAGTTGTTTCTTTGTTTCCAAAGTCTATTTACCGGTAAATGGTAGTGTTATATGAATAGTCTTTTTGGTGCATTATACACCCCCTCTTTAGGGGTAGAAGCTTTCTTGATGTACTTATTGGTTATACTAGTTATCACTTTCGTTGGAAGATCATTCTCACTTAAACAACACTTGATGCCACTTATTTATTTCTTTTAATAGTTCTGTATTACTGGTAACTTTATGAGCTCTGTATACCAAAACTGATGTAGAAGCTTTTCGAATACTTAACTGAACAACATGGAAATATTAAACTCGCCGTGAGCAAAGAAAAGTAATCTTATCTATAGTTCTTGGACACCCTGGTCATCAAAAAAAGGGTGGGAAGTTTGAAACTGGAGTTTATCATAAACCTACGTTTTCAGGTTTATATTTTAACTACAATAGTTTCACACCGAATAAATTTATGGCAAATCTGTTTAGCAGTATAATTAAAAGTAAATTACTTATGACTCTCTTATGAAATATTTGTACTTTTGATTGTTTTACTGTAAAATGTTG